ATGGTTCCACAGTTTGCTGGCAACAACAATTCTTCCCGCAACATCTACAATGATCCAACAAATTCAACTGTCTTTGTAGGTGGATTGGCGGCTGGTGTATCGGAAGAGACATTGTTCACTTTATTTGAACCATTTGGCTCTATATCGAGTATCAAGATCCCAAGAGGTAAAGGATGTGGATTTGTAAAGTTTTCAACCAGAGAAGAGGCAGAAAATGCCATCTCAGGAATGCATGGATTCCTTATTGGTGGTTCTCGAGTAAGACTTAGCTGGGGGCGCTCCTCTTTACCCAACCAACACTCCCATTCGCACCCGCATCCGCAACATCTAATGATGTCTCCTGGTGTTTTTGATCCAATGGGAAGGAATGGTGGCATGTACGGAATCCCTCCAGGCGTTGCACCTGGTGTTCTCCCGGGTATAACTCCTATTTATTATCCAACAGATTCTCAAGTTTATAGTGAGATGGATCCAGGACAGTATTCGGGACCCTATATGGTTCAAAGTCCAGTGGGAAGTTCCATTGGAGGCCCCAGTATCACTGGTAACGGTTCAATGGGGGCTACATCTAAGGAAGCACCTGCGTCTTCTTCTGCTACGACTGTATCCCCTTCGAAGTCTTTGGAGGAATCCGAAGAAACTGCAACTAGTCCAATATTATCAGCCAAGGAACCAGCTCCTCCCAGTTCCCCGAACACAAATTTATCAGGTGCTAATTCTCCAGAACTAGCTTCTCCTACCGTGTCTCCTTGAATCTATCAATCACTGAGATGCTGTTATCACATGTATTACTACGTAACCTAAAAGTTCTCTAACGGAACGACTATTATGTCCTGACGTTGAGGTACTTTGGGGTAAAAACTGAGAAGCCTATTCAGTGCTGTGTCGTCAAATTGGCCCCATTCTTCAATTGTAAACAGGTCAGTCACCTGAGTGTTCCAAGCCATTCGTTCTTTGATGGTGGGAGTATCCTCACCTGGAGCTACCCTATGCCTTAATTCTCCACGCATTTTCCCCAGGTTGTCCACGGCAGTTTTTGCATCCAGGCTGGCAAGTAGAGGTTCCAGCTTGTCGTGCTTAAGTTTATGACACAATCTTGGAGACTTTCCGTTTGAACTTATCATAATTTGTATACTCCCCTGTCTTACTACTGACCCAAAGTAGAAATCACATTGTTTGGGTTTGTCGGCGATGTTTACTTGCATCCGCCCAGCTTTACACCAATAGTATATTTGCCTGGAGAGATTTTTATCATCTATTGCCGTTAAAACCAATGCAAATTGTTCCTGCTTAACTGCCTGTTCTATTTGCTCCGTTTCTTCGGGCCCAAATTGGTCTAAGCCAAAAAATTGATCCAACTTTCTGGATGCTTCACCTTCATACATTTTCAAATCGTCTTTGAGGAACTTTCTTCTATGAACTTTGTATAATAACCCCAATTTTTCATACTCTTCAATGGTGGGATCTATCTTGGGAGCAACCACTGTGACCTTTGCATCAGCTTGGAGAAGTAGTTCTATTCGAGAAACGGCAACTGCTCCTCCACCAACAAGAAGTACATGACGATTTCTTATTTGCCAAGCCAACATCAAAGAACCATTGGGCTCTGGAATTTTGATAGACATGATGGATTAGTTTTAAAACTGGTGCAAATAACGTTTAAAATTGCCTGGGGTTTAATGGAATTTTTCGCGCAGTTAGATAACGTAATGATAAGATGGAAGGGACGATGATGGTGGAAAAAGAGAAGAACATTCAGGTTGAAACCTTTCTGCAATCCTTAAATTCGTTAAACAGTTTGGCTTGGATCGCAAGAAACAGACGGCGAGTGAAAATTGAGTTGTCGGTGAGGAGGGGTTGTAACTGTTTCGGTGACCACTTTACACCCAGAGCTGCCACCCAATGCTGACTGTTAGTTGGAATATTTCAATCACTGAGAAAAATTCCGGGTCACCACTCAATACAAGTTGAGTAAATAACGTGGAGGTTGTACTTAGTATCTATCACTCAAATACATCCGTTCATACGTGTAGTTACTCGTTTAGGACTAATTATAGCTTGCAACAGACCTATTGTTGTGACTGATGCTCAACTGTTATCCGGGTAACGGGGTTTTGCCTCCCAATTCGTGACATAGTAAATATCAGAACGCGATTGGTTTGTTGTTTTTTTCCTCTGCTTACCAATCAACTTGTCCTAGATTAGCTATTTTCTAAGTAACATTTGCCTGGCCAAAGTATTTTGCCACCAATACGCATCGATATTCACTAATTCACGTGGTTTTATGGTCACTCAGCCACCTATTCTAGCCCCCCCCCCCCCCCCCCCTTTTTTACAGCTCCTATCCGTTCAATTTGATGGTGACGTGGCAATCTCCGAGCGGTTACCCGGATAATTGATCGCGATAAAACTTGGAGTTGCTATCTTTTAACTCCTCTTTCTCACCATAGTCCACGGCAAAGAAAGACAATATGGATATGCAATGGCAAGTAATAATGGTCGGCAAAGAGGGATGATTCTCCAGCTGTCAACAACCTGTTTTTCACTGAGAACAAATTTACCACCTAACGCTTAGCTCTGATTGCTATCTGTTATCGTTTCCTTTGTTAATCCCTTCCTTTACGCCCCCTAAAATTACTTGATACGAGCCCACCACCGAGCGTCGCGATGTGTTAGTGCTCTCTAAGTAAATTTCGGTACGTTGAGGTCTCCTGTCTTCCCCGTCTCGAAAACAGTATTTAAGTAAACAACTCCCCAACCCCCCTCGATTGAACAAGAAAAGATCTGAAATACTTGCTTGTTTTCAGTTACCCTCTCTGCACGTGACTCTGGAACACACATCCTCAGAATCTATGTCACTGCCAGAAACTCAAGTCATCTCGGACACTCTGTCCCTGAATGACGAGGTGAAGTCTGAACGCAATGGGTCTGTTACAGACCAGTCATTGCCGACTCCCAAACCAGAGGATGCACATGACCTTAATTCTCACACTGCTACCTCTGCAGAGGCCACTGCTCCAAACAAACATGGACTTGATGATGAATCAGAATTGGGTTTGGACTCGAAACGTCCAAAGATCGATGAAACTGAAGCAGGAACCTCTAATGGATCTGTTAGCACCCACAATCCAGATACGAAGGCTACCCCTTCTGAAGAATCTAATAGTCTTCCCATGGAACCGGCCCCTAAACCACCCCCTGAACCAGATATGAACAATCTTCCCGAGTCTCCAATGCCAAAGCATCAAAACAAGTATGCAGCCAACACAATCAAAGCCATCAAGAGGCTAAAGGATGCTAAGCCATTCCTGCTGCCTGTGGACACGGAGAAATTGGGTATTCCACTTTATTATAATTACATAAAAAGGCCTATGGACTTATCTACAATTGAACGAAAGATTAATGTGAGTGCTTATGAAAGTCCTGATATTATAGTTGAAGATTTCAATCTGATGGTTGATAATTGTCGTAAGTTTAATGGAGAGGATACTCCCATTACGCGTATGGCTAAGAACATACAGGCTAGCTTCGAGAAGCACATGCTAAACATGCCCCCAAAGAATCCACCTGACAATGGCGTTGCCCCTAGTAAGAGAAAAAGAAACAAGGAAGTTCCAGAAATAAGACGGGACAGCATCCGTGACGGAAGACCAAAGAGGGAGATTCACCCTCCGAAGCCAAAGGATATACCATATGATATCAGGCCTCGCAAGAAGAAGTATGTTCAGGAGCTACGTTTCTGTAATCAAGTGATGAAAGAATTGATGTCTAAGAAGCATCAAAATTATTCCTTTCCATTCTTACAACCAGTGGACCCTGTTGCCCTTGACTGTCCTACCTATTTCGAAATTGTGAAAGAACCAATGGATCTGGGAACCATACAAGCCAAGCTTGCCAACAGTGAGTATGAGAATGCGGATCAATTTGAAAGAGAGGTTCGTTTGGTTTTCAGCAACTGTTATAAATTTAATCCAGAAGGCTCCCCTGTTAATGTGATGGGTCACACAATGGAGAATGTTTTCAATAAAGAGTGGGAGAAGAAACCAGCACCTGCACCAAGTCCCCAAGTTCTTTCAGACTATGATTCCGAGGCTGAAGACGAAGGAGATATCGAGATTGATGAGTCATTATTAACAAACCCGGCTATTGAATACCTGGAGACTCAAATCGAGAGGATGAGGGCTGACGTTGAGAAGATGAAAAGACAACTATATGATGAAGTAATGAGCGTTGCTATCAAAAACAGAAAGAAATCGAAGAGATCCAAGAAGAAGTCTTCTATCTCTTACCCAACCCATATAACATATGAAATGAAGAAAGAATTGAGTGAAAAGATTAACTACCTGTCTGAAACTAAACTGGCAAAGGTTATTTCTATTATCCAAGAGACCCTTCCTGAATTGCAAAAGTCAGGTCAAGAAGAAATTGAACTGGATATTGATCAACTTGATTCTGCTACACTACTGAAGCTGTATAACTTTGTTGTCAAGAAAGAGAAGGCTTCTTCTGACAGTGGAAGTAGTACGAAGAACGGATCGCGTGGAAGATCTTCGGGATCCGCATCGAAGTCAGGACGGTCTGCGTCCAGCAAGAGGAGCCGTATCAAGAAGAGTTTAAGTGTTGAAGAACAGAACAAGAAGATTGCTAACATTAGACAGAAACTCGAACAATTTCAGACTCATGGATCTCCCCCCAAAACCAACTATGCTGCAGATGAAGATGAGAGTTCCGAAGATGACGATCAAAGCTCTGATGAAAGCTCTGAGGAAGAGTGATCGTAGTGTCTTCTCAACTCTTTGTATATATAGACTTTTTGTCACCTTCGTTGATTGGGAGCTATTGTCTGAATTAGGGTCTTGCATTTACAGTTGTAACTATGTATTATAATTTTTGTACTATTATTTAAGAGCATCGGAAACAGGAAGCAGTTATAGGATAAGTAAACTCTTGGAATAAAAGTGCCAAAAAAAAAAGTTAGTTGCAAATGTAAACAAAAATAATGCTCCACGGGAGGTTCGAACTCTCGACCTTCAGATAGCACACCTATGCAGTATGAGACTGACGCTCTACCGACTGAGCTAGTGAAGCTTGATGACTTCTATAAGTTTGAAATTAAACTAAAAGCGTTATTCTCGTTTGAAATATTCAATCTGTTTTTGTTGATAGTTCAAAGTAACAATAGTAGATACTAAGACTTTTATTTTGTAAAGTTTGGCAGTTAATTAGAAACTGATTACACTTGTCGCCATGTGGTAAGCTGTCATGAAAAGATCTTAAACTGCACCAACTTTTGACCCCCATTTAACTGACATCTGAATGCGACTCTCTACGGATCACTAGTATCTATGTGGGAAAAAATAATGATGAATGCTATGAGGCTCAAACTCATGCATCTCCCTTGGAAAACTATGATAGAGTTCAAATTGTTTAACGTTACTACAGAATACTAGGTACCTGCGTTGAGGTTCCAATTACGGAATAGTATCCTATGAATGAAAACTCAACCTACCATTTATATAACTATTCCAATTGAGTTGATACTGAAGGACGTTTGGCCGAGTGGTCTAAGGCGCCCGACTCAAGTGGTCTCACTTCCCGCGTTTCGCAGGTGTAATCGGGTCTCGTAAGAGGCATGAGTTCGAACCTCATAGCGTTCATCATATTTTTTGTTTACTTGGATTTGAATGGCTTGCAATCGAGTCGTACCTGAGCTGGTACCAAACGTTACCTAGGTAGGGCAGGTAGTGTTTTGATCTTCTTCGGAATTGACCAGATGAAGCTCTTTTCCAACTGCTCTAAAGCTATGAAATCTAGCTGAAGTACAACTTCACTCTTCTCACGAACTGGTAAATTCGTATAAACTGTCTTTTTCAGAGCCACTCTTTCATATCACTTAGTTGTAGTAAGAGCTCGCATTATGACAGTTCCGACCCAACACTCCACCTGATACCGCTATGCCAGCGTGTAAGTCAAAGAACGACAGCAGTTGCAAAATTGCTCTCAAGTTGTTATCATTCAACGTTAACAACGAATATTTCTGGGAGATCCGATCACTTAAACTGTAACAAACGGTACTTTGAACGAAGAAAAGTTAGAGCTTTCAGAACTAAGTAGGCTACTAATAGAAATAGAAGGAAATGCAGAACGGTGCTGTCGATTAACATTGGTTGTTTAACTTGTACAATAATAAAACTCAAAAACCATTAGAACTTTCTGTCGGTTTAAAAATGGATCAATTAGCTCAATAACAAATAAATTAGATAAATCGTTCCGCAGAGGCAAACTAAATGCCAGTAATTACAAAGTAAATAGGCAGAACTTCTGAATATCCGTTAGACCCCTTTTGATAATATCGCCAAATCTCAGGTTATAGACCAATCGAGGACGTTTGGCCGAGTGGTCTAAGGCGCCCGACTCAAGTGGTCTCACTTCCTGCGCTTCGCAGGTGTAATCGGGTCTCGTAAGAGGCATGAGTTCGAACCTCATAGCGTTCATCATTTTTTTTTTCAAGAATTACGAACCTTTCATTCTCCAAGGCTACCATTGGTACCTACAGTTCGGTGTAACACCCTAGGCTTTGTGGTATATAATAATTGCCATTGGCAGGCTCATGCGCAATCAATTGTTTCTTGCACCCTGTAGCAAGTCATAAACTACCAATTTCAAGGAACAGCAAAATGTTTCATTGATTTACCACAGATCTAATACGAATCTATGCGAACAAGTTAGTCAACAAAAGAGAACTATCACGCTAGTGTTTTGAAGCCTCGCAAAAACCTTAGATCAAGAGTCTTATCAGATCTAATCATATCTCACTGATAACAAAAATAGCCCCTCTCGGGTATTCTTTCCCCATTTGAGCTATATACGAAACTGCAATCACTTGGACGTTACATCAGTCAAGCCCATGTAGTCGCCATCCACTATCTTTCCACCACCTTTCCAACCCCATTTCAGGCTAATTTATACAACACTAGTTTTACCTATAATCTGATTATGACCGCTCCCGCACGACCGTAATGGTTCGCGCCCTAATGCAACAATTTACCTTTGCTGAGCTCTCTACCTCTCATACTATCATACACCCCACTGAACATTGCGTTTATCATCTATCAACACTTACAAGGAATTGAACATAATTGTGCCACTTGTGATATCAACGAAAGGAACGTACAAACAGTTATCAAAAAATGTCCAATAACTTAAACAACAACAATCCAAATCCGCCCATCGCACCGGGACCCAACCAAGTAGGGTATACATCCTCGTTGAGATCACCAGCTTCACCAGCGTTGAGGGCCCGTCAAGCGTCAATCGTGGAATTGTTGTCAACTCCTCCCCCAATAGAGCCCTCCGATGCTTCGATTGACAACACGTTGAATCTATCTAGGACTGCTTCCAATTTATCTCGGAATCCGTCATCTTCCTCTCAAACCAGCTCGATGTTTGCGCAGCAGCACCAACAACAACAGCATCAACAATTTTCCACATCAGGAGCGGGATCCTCCAGCACTTCGGGCTTGATGGATTGGCAAAATATTGAATTGAGCGCATTGGTGGAAGAAAACAAACTGATATTTATTAACGAGAACATCTCTGTAGAAGAGGCCTTTGATACCCTGGTGAAAAATAACTTAACTTCTTTACCCGTGGAGAAATATCGCAATGACCTGGATTGCTTAACGTTTGACTATGCCGATCTTAACTCTTACCTCCTATTGGTGTTGAATAGGATTCGCTCAGAGAGATTATTATCGATTAATTACGAACCAAGAGAAGATATTCCTGATTTGATTCAAAAGGCTCAAAAGGGAGAACAGGTACCTGTAAAGTTTGTCATCCAACTAATTAACAAGAATCCATTCATTAAATTGCACGAATCAGAAACGCTATCTACAGTTGTTGAGATATTAGGAAATGGTGTGCACAGGATTGCCATCATGAGTGATACCCAGATAACAGGAATTTTATCCCAAAGAAGATTGATCAAATATCTATGGGACAATGCTCGTAAGTTTCATTCTCTGGATCCATTATTAGGCGCCAGTCTTGCTCAATTGAACATAGGAAGTACCAATGTTGTTTCTATTTATGGTGATCAACTGCTGATAGAGGCTTTATCCAAGATGCACGAACTGATGATTAGTTCAATGGCTGTGGTTGATAAACACCACAACTTGCTAGGTAATATTTCTGTTACTGACGTGAAGCACGTATCAAAGTCTTCTCAATCTCCACTACTGTACAAAAGTTGTCTGCACTTCGTCTCCTATATTTTGAATCTCAAAGGTTTAGAAAACGGTAAAGATTCCTTTCCTATTTTCCATGTGACTCCAAACTCCTCGTTATCGAGGACAATGGCCAAACTGGTTGCTACAAAGTCACACCGATTATGGATTGTTAACCCTGTTGGGGCTGAGGACCCGATAATTGCCGGATCTAGTATTCCTCTTTCTCCTTCGTCATCTCTCAATGGTATTAGCAGCAGCAATAACAGCAACCTATCAATATTTACTCCAGAAAAAGACATGGGTCGTCCCGGAAAGTTGATTGGAGTGGTTTCAATCACGGATATTCTTTCCCTTTTGGCAAGACGACTGGGAAAATCTCATGTTGATCCCTCCACCGCAAGAAAACAAAGACGCAGATCTTCTTCAAGTTCAAGCAGGAGTGTAGCTTCAAGATCCAGTTTGGAGCAGTTCAGAAAGAGTGTCAGCGATGCTTCCGATAGGTAAAGCCTGAGCTTCTCCTCCATTCTATCTTATATGTAATGTACTAGTTTTCTCTTGAAGATGTTTATATAATTAGTTTATTAGCCCGTATAGATGCCTGGCACAATATCAGTTGTGGCTAGTTGAATATGAATCTTTCAAGCGTTCAGTTAGACCAGAGAGGCGGCGAGTCTGCTTTTTCGGATGGTAAGCAAGGATATCATTTGTTTACTAACATTGAATTTTAGCACCGATTGTTTAGCACTACAAAGAATCGTCCGCTCAGCTATTTATCATTAATGGTCGTTTGAATAATTGGTAGGTGAAAGCAGGTGAAACAAGAGGTACATACGACATCGTAACGGTGGGGTCCTCTTGAGTCGTCTCGTCTCTCCCTGACATCAGATATGATAACTGAAAGAAATTTCGCGATTTGATCCAAGTGATACATATGACATCTTGACACAGCAGGGATTATTAACCTGCATAAGGGGCACTCTTTCATCACAATTAAATCTAAATGTGGTCCCACAAAAGTTAAACCACCTGTTCAAATATGATCTTACTTCATGTTTCACTGGAAATCAGGTGATACACTGTAGCAAGTCGTCTATTGCTCTTTTGGGATGTGTTTGGTTCCTGGATTCACTGCTGGTGAGCCCCATTTTTTGTACGTTCAATACCAGGACGTTTTTTCATCACTTTTGACGTACAAGCTCCCTCCTTCCAAATCGTAGGAATATCCTGTGATGACAACAGGGGCAACTGTACACACTCTGACAACCGCTTGAGCTGGTGACCTCGCTCTCAGATGAACAGAAGCTATTTGTTATCAGTCTTCGGAGACTGTCATGCTGATTGATTTCTAAATTCTCCAGGATAGATACAAGCACTTCCAGGAAGAATTTGAAGACAGGTACCAACTAGCAGGATACGATATAGCATAACATGAAATATCACTTTACAAAAAAGCCAGAGTCTTAACCGGAACCCTTTCAATTACACTAGTCCGACCACCGGAAGAGGCTCTGGGTATTCTCTACGACCCAGCTAATGGGTAGATCGTGAATCCTCCAATATCCATCGGACTAAATGATTGCCTGATTTCAATATATTGAGATGGGTTCTATATACGTAACTGTCTATTACATGCCTAAGCAGCGTTCTTCAAAGCTCTTCTCTTTTGAACAGCTTCGGCAAGTTCTCTCAACATAGAATCGGTAGTTTCCCACGAGACACAGCCATCGGTGACAGAAACACCGTACTTAAGAGCCTTCCTTCCTTCAGCTGGGATGGATTGTTTACCCTCATTGATGTTCGATTCAATCATTACTCCAATGATACGGTCTTCACCAGCAGCGACCTGATCGGCAACTACCTTGGAGACCTTTGGTTGGTTTCTGTAGTCCTTGTTGGAGTTTCCGTGGGAACAGTCAATCATCAGAACACCGTCAGCAGGTAACTTTGCCTTTGCTTCGGCTACGGATTCAGGATCGTAGTTGGTACCCTTCTTACCTCCTCTGAGAATAACGAAACAGTATTCATTACCCTTGGTGGTCGTGATGGCAGCAATACCGTGCTTCGTGACACCCATGAAGTGATGAGCGTGAGAAGCAGCTTGAACAGCATCAAGAGCAACATCCAAGGTACCATCAGTTCCATTCTTAAATCCGATTGGGAAGCTAAGCCCTGATGCCAACTCTCTGTGAAGCTGAGACTCGGTTGTTCTGGCACCGATGGCACCGAAGGATAGCAAATCAGCCAAATATTGAGGCGAAATTGTGTCCAACATTTCACTGGCAATAGGCATACCGCTGTTGGTCAGGTCGACAAACAACTTTCTACTGATTTTGAGACCCTTATTGATGCTGAAACTGTTGTCCAAATCTGGGTCATTGATCAAACCTTTCCATCCGACGGTAGTTCTTGGTTTTTCCAAATAGGCT